AAAAAAAAAAAAATCAAATACTTGCCTCCTCTTGCTCATTGGCAGCAATGGAAGTAACGTATCCTGCAAAGCGACTGTCGCTGCCTTCATAGATCTCTGGGTCAAAAACGCCAGTGGAGATCAGGCCCACTCCCTGCTCTCCATCCTCCAGCAGGGAGGCCTTCATCTCCTGGAACTCCAGGATCTGGGCCTCGATATCTGTAGGGGCACAAGGAAACATGGTGAAAAACTACCTGTATAGGCAAGCATGGATGACTGACATACACCCCGATATCAGCAGTGGTGAATGGAATCTATAAATATTATATTTACTGAAATTTATCTGAGGCATGACTTCAGTTTGTGCTGGATAAGGGTGTAAAACCAGTGTGATAGAGCGTACTGTAAAATTTGATAACATGCCCATATATTCTTCCTTTTTTTTTTTTTTTTTTTTTTTTTTAAAATTTAGTTCATCCCTTGGCACAGGGAAACAAAGGAATGCTTCATAAAAGGAAAAAAGAAAAAAGCCTTTAGCTCTTCATCGTGGAATTTTTGTACATTTAATTAGGAGGATCTTCAGTGTTTCTTAGCAAGGAGAAAAAACAGATGGGGTATTGTACTTGCAAACGATGCTCTCAAAGAGATTTAGTCGTTAAAAAATGCTTTAACCCCACACAGAGAATTGGACTGATTGGCAAAGACTAGCAAACGGGCCTTTATTTGCGCTTTCACACCTTAAATCAAGCTCAAATACTTCCTTACACTCTTGCTTATTAATATCACCGTATGTGACTGTAGTTTTTGATGTAAACATGATCTGTTCCAAGACAGTCCCGCACTACAATTAAGTTTGGCTCACTCTGTTTATTTACTTTACTGTGAGGTTGCTTTAATCTTATGTATTTATTTTATTCTATTTTGCAAAACAGGGCTTTATGAATGCACGCCTGTGAAAAGCGCTTTAAAAATAAACGTTACTGACATCATAATTTCTGCTTTCACAAACAAAAACTGGGTCACGTAACTCTCAAAGTCATGTCCAAACAGTGCATTAGAATATTTTACAGAAAAGGGTTAACTATTACCAATACTTGCTACAGAACACCGATTATGAAGCTAATATCAGAGTCTGTTGCCGAATACCATTTGCTGTAGGCATGGTAAACGCTTGTTAGAGGTTGCTAATGCTAACTCGGTTAGCCACGAGAATCCCTGAGACGTTAAAGAATTACCATCCCTTGGATTACACAGTAACAACAACAAGTAATACTAGCTTAAAGGCGTATCTGACCAAGACAAAAAGCCCAAATGGCGCCTACTATTGCATGCAACTGTGCAATAAGCTGAGAAAAAATAGTCCACTCCAGCTAACAAGAAAGCTAAGCACTAACCACCAGCGCCATTATCTAAAGCTCCGCGTTGCGTCGTATAAGGCCTGGTGCTTATCGCCTTTTTCGCAAATAAACAGGAGCATTACCGTCAACAGAAATACCAGAAAATTCACCGCAATATTTACTGACACCATAAAGCAAAATACATGGTAAAACAGAACATATTTATGGAGGTTTTAGCAGTAATTTACCTTCGTGCGTTTTGGCGATCTTCGCCATTTTGGTGGCGGTTGTTCGAGACTGAAAGCGGATGTGACTTAATTCAGAGCTCCGTGTCTTTCCAGCTGTTCTCAGACCAGTTTCCAATCGCTCAGTAGTTATATAGCTAGTAGTAGCATTAGTATTAGAAGTAGTATATTGACATACTTATAAAAGTTGTAGATACAGTGAAGCAATTAGTATGTAACTTTCCGTCCATGTATGATGTATAATGTCCACTAGCCTAAAAAAAAAAAAGTAAAAACCCCATTAAAAAGTCTTAATTGACGCAGCCCTCCAATTGTCCTTTCTCATTTTATTCAGATTTCCCAGGTGTTTTTTAAGACTCCTAGAAGCAGCACTCTGATCTTTTTTTCAATTACAGACTTTTTTCAATTAAAATGGAGAATGTCTGCTGACAGAAATCACCTGAGTAATATCTCCTTGCACAGCTCCTTCTTTGTCTCCTGGGGGACATTAATTGGGCTGCTTTGTAAAAACGTATACCAAAAAGCCTGTAGTTTCACTGTGTATGCCACAGAAGTGAAAAGGATAATAAGACAGGTTTTGTTGATTAGAAGACTTGTTTTTCACAGGGGCTATTTTGGCATGCAGTGGTAGGTAAACAAGGCTTTTCTAATACCTGGTTCAGAATCGTAACTTCAAGTCAAGGCGTTTAACCTCTAACATTACTAACATCTGTTTACCTAGTATTTCATGTGAAACTAGCTTCTTTGAAAGAGATATATGGTTGGTAAAGTTTCTTCCCCAAATGTCTGCACAAAACACCTGTGATTATAGTTTATGTTCTTTTCTCATAAATGCCCAGGTGTTATTTCTTAGATTTTCTTGTGCTCCTATTAGCTAGAGGACCTATATCTAAAACAATGCATGGGTGGCTGTAGCTCACAAGGTATAGCAGGTCATCCACAAAGGGTGGTGGTTAGATCCCTGGCTACATGGCAAATATCCTTGGGCAAAATACTGAACACAGAGTTTCTCTCAGATGTATAGGAGTATGAATCTGTGTGAATGTTGGAAAACACAGAAAAAAGTGCTTGTATGAATGGCACATGCTGTATAAAGTGCTTTGAGTTTGAGTGCTCCAGCAGAGTAGAAAAGCTATATAGAGCAGTCCATCTACTACAGACAGGAGCTAATTGTGAAGCTTTTTCCTTTTCACAGAAAATGAAATTTCAGGACCCAGCCTGCATTTTGGTCATTAGAAAATGAAGCTACATGACAGAAGGATGAGGAATATAGCTGTGGGGAAACTGACTGATTAGATTTAAAACAGTTGAGTTTTACCTGGTGACTAAGCAGAAAGATGCCAGAAGATGCATGTCGTTGCAGGAAAAACTTGTACCACCAGCTGTGAGGTACTTGACACAGAAGGCAAAGTTTGGATAATAATGATGCCGCCAAAGTGTCCACAAACAACCCTGACTGGGGAGAAATGTTTATACAATTGACAGTTTCTGTGTTTAACCTGAAACCACACTGAACTTTTTTTTTTAAACTTTCATGAACTTTACTAAAGTGTATGTTATAACATATATTTTGGATAAGAACACCAGTGCCGATAAGCATATATCATTCCCTTCAATATTTATTCATATATATAATAAATGTACCTTACACGTTAGTAAAACAAATATAATGTATCACGATAAGCAAAGAAACTTTCATAATTTACCCCTGAATTGATGTATATGTAAACAGCTCCCCTTTCATTTTTATAAAGATAAAAACAAAAGCACACATACAGAAACCTGTTCACTTTCACTTTCAATGTCTTCCTTACTGCAAATAATTTTAAATATTTATTTCACTTTGTTATTCAAAAATAGTAGAAACTGTATTCTAACAAATTTGCCCAACAGAGCAGGAATAAATGACAACAAAGAAGGTGTAGTGTAGCCGACAGGTCAATACGGTGACCTATTGATAGTTTTGATATGCAAAGACAAACAGGTTTCACCCGGTTTTCTCGGCCGGTAGTGCAACCCGAGCCAACAACTCGTGACTCTATGCGCGTGCGAGCTCGTGCACACGGACCTGAATACGTTGGCGTGACAAACGGCGGGACCGCCCAATAAAAACATTCGGTGGCCTCAGGTCGTCCAATGGCAAGCGGGTTAGGCCAGTTGAGGGTCGGGCCAAACTGCGCGTTGAGCTCCCTGTCAACTGGTTGATAGCGAGGGAGTGAACAAAGCCGTTAAAGAAGAAGAGAAGATGGCGAGATGCGGTCGGAACTTGAGGAAAGTAGCTGAGTGCATAAAACAGTTACCGTCCACAGCCAACCGGGATATCCAGAACAGAAGCAACGTTAGGTAAAGTGTTTGACTTTTTCAAGTTGTTGTCTGAAACGAGACGGCGTAAAATATGAAGACATAGCTCTATAACGAGAATTTATACCAAAGTTAAACTTCTGGTACGGGGTAGCTAAACACTGCGGCGGTGTACGATTCACGGCCCTATTTGACTCAAGAATCTCGTTGGATTCGTTAACTACATCTCTGTAGATGGTAGAAAGTAGTGAAATGAGGGTCGAGTAAAAGCAGTATTGGTCTACCTTATAGCAAATGTAGTACAGCCACGATGTTGCAGTGATAAGCCGCATAGTACATTAGATAATAATTTATATTCACTGAAACATTAAATTGTCGCTCTTTCACTTTCACACATAGAAAAGTAAAGCTGATTTCAGTTTCTTTTACTGGACTATATGCATTCTCATGTGGGGAGCAGCAGTCTTAGCGTAAACTTACAAAAATGCGAGATAATTTATGTATTGATTATAAACCAGGCTCATTAATTATTACTATGTCTGCGTAGTTGGGTTTTTTCTTTTACGTCCCACCACTGCTGATAGCACAGCCAAGTTGAAGACATGGAAACCTTTAACTTTACATACTTAAATCCCCACGATAAAAATTTAGAAGCATCGTAACGATTAGCATCGATTATCTGTGATTTGCAAAACAGTGTAGTAAAAACGACATGCAGGTACAGTCTGAAAATATTCCTAAAATCGTTAAGTCCCATTTGGTAAATGAAACCATCACCAGAACCTGTAGCAGCTTTTCACCAATTATTGTCTCACATGTGATGCATATATTATATTAAGTTTACTGTTTGTCAGTCATTATCTGTTTATACAACAGCCTCTCTTTAACATCAAAAGCTGACTGCGAAAGAGTATATTATAAACCATGCAGATATGTTTAATACTCCGTATTGTCACTAAGCAGACAGTGTTTCAGATGATTAGTCTAGGTTCTTTTTTCTATTTCAGCTAGTTATCTCTTATATTGGTCTTAGTCCAGTCCCCAGTCCATTCTCTATATCTCAGCCATTTTATCTCCCACCCCCCTCCTTTAAGTCGTCTTTCCTCTGATTGAACAGCGGGTGGGTGGGGTTTCTGTGCTCACTGCCAGAGCTGTGTGCCTGAAATGACCATAGTCAGGCTGTCTGAAATTCTAAGTTTAGAGCAGTCTGAAGTCTTAGGTTTTCGGTCACACGGTGTACTTATACATACACCGACCTCATTATTTGAAAATTTGGTAATTTTTAGTATGAGCATCTGCTACTGTATATGGCCTATAAATTTACTCATCACAAGGTAACATTACTTGTTACCTTAGCCTAAACAAGAGCACATTATCTGCTCCCTTAAAATTAAACAAGATGATGCTTTTATCTACATTTTCCTAAAGAAATGTTAAACAAATCCAAAGTGTGCTACTTTAATTAGTTTCTCAGTGTATTTGTATACTTCCATGAATTCATTGTCCAGCTCATCTGTTGTTTGGGTTTAATTCTGCTTTCCACCTTTGTGGAGTTTGAGGTGTCTCATTCACCTTTTGCTCTGGGCCATTCTCAGCCTGTACCCAGGATACATTTAGAGGTCAGGTGTATAGGGATGGGTATCGAAAACCGGTTCTTGTTGAGAACCGGTTCCCACTGTTTCAATTCCTTGGAATCGTTTGCCATTTTTGCAAACGATTCCCTTATCGATTCCAGTCGCCCCGAATGACGTCACCACGTTGCGGAGCGTCATTT